TCGTCCAGGTCCGAGTCAACCTCGTCCACCGTCATCGTCGTGTTGCTTGCGGCCACCGACAGCACCCGCCGCGCCTTGCACGCCGCCACCTTCTTGATCAGCGGGTTCACACACGTCGCCGCGTCCAGAAAGCACTGGTTCTGGTACTTGAGCTCCGTCTTGCCGCCGTCCATGGACGCGCACACCTTGGCTTTGGTCAGTTGGCACTTGGCGATCCCGCACGTTGCCATCTTCTTGGGGCACTTGCCCGGCGCGATGAACTGAATGTCGGGCTTGACGCAGCGCGCGGCCTTGAGAAAACAGAGGTTGTCGTACGTCACACCGTTGGAGCCGCACACGGGCTTGACCTCGTTGGGCTTGCACTTGGCGATCTTGCGCGTGCACGAGTTGTCGCAGCTCTTGGCGGGCGACGCCGAGAGACACTGGACTTTCTTGTTGCCGCACTTGGCGACGAGGCAGTTGCACTGGCTGGTGTACGTGTTGACAAACGTGGTGGCGCTGGGCGACTCGAGCGCGCAGTAGGTTTGCTTGAGCGGCGGGCACGCCACGGCGCACTTGCCAGCCTGGAGCGACGACGCGTCCACGGCTGCGACGGCGAGAAGGCCCGACAAAAAGAGATGGACAAGCTGCATGGGTGATGGAATCTTCAAGGGAAAATGCAAAGTGCGAACGATAGAACAACGGACCGAGAGGCGGTATTCGCTGCGATACGCCACTGTCTCAAGTCATGTGTGCGCGCTCCAGTCCGCATGGCATACAAAGGGCAAGAGGCGTCAACCCATGCAACGGCAGTCGACAGCGCAAGCAACGACCATGACGACGGGTGAACCGTGGGTGAGCTGAGGACTGGGTAGCTACGCTATCGTGTACAGCACGCCGTGATGAGCAACGCCACTCGCAACTGGAAGCTTCGGCACTTTATCGAGCTCGCTTTCGAGATGGAAGCGATCGTTGAAACGTGGGGATGCTGCCACTGCCCATTTTGGCGTTGCGACACTGGCGAAGAAATCAAAAGTGGAATTTTGGGGGTTTTGCACGAGATTTCAGGTAAATGTACGGTGACTACAGAACGACAAACATCCGGTCGACGCAAATGACAACACACACCTTGCAGCAACGCATCAAAACGCCTCATGTGGCAAGGAATCGTCAAAGAAATATAGTCGAAAGTTACAAAATCGACTAACTAAATCGACGCTCTAGGTCAAACGTAGCAACTTGTCCACTATGTACATGCCACACTACACTTGATGTCGGGCGCCTTTGGTGCTATCGGCGTCGACAACAAGTCCTCAGCCTCTGGCAAATCCGAAACGATCGCGCCTTCCGCGCCGACCTACCACTACCAAGGCCATGGACAATGGCCGCTAAGGCAGCGCGTGTCACTCAAATGCACTTGCACCACAGCCTCGCTCAAAAGCCCGAGCAGCCTGCTCTTCGTCCGCTTCTCCGGCTCCTCGCACAACACGAGTGGCCGCGCCAGCACCTTGTCCCGCGGATCGCGCTCCTCGTCTGCCGAAATCTAGCTCCTCCACTAAGTGTACTAACGTTTGCGGACCACGACGCACGTCTTCTCATATGACAAAGGGAAGGTAATAGCGCCCAAGCAACCAGCCATGACGTCCCTCGGCTCCGCCAGGTCGCGACGTCGTCGAATTGTCCTCAAACGAGATGCGTCACACAAAAAGCATTGCATATTTCTTATCAAATGCATCAAGCAGCGTGTTTGCGATCTTCTTGGGGCGACTGCACATCGCGGTACGAGTCTGTGCCTCGGTGCGCGTCCTCGTCATTGTCGTACGCCGACCCGCCGTGTTCGAACGCGTCCATGCCCATGCGCTCGGCTTCGGCCGAGACGCGGAGGTACCCGAGTGCCTTCATGCTG